CCACGACACGAGCCAGCTGAAGCTGCCAATCCACGACAGGTTGAGGAAGATCTCCAGCAAGTGTGAGGTGGATTTTGAGGACAACACCTTACACAACCGGGTCAGACGCCGCACATCCTTCCGACAGGATCGGGATCACCTGGAGGGGGATGGCGGGTCACGTGACCAGGACAAGACGGACAGCATCTTCTATGGCGGCGGGAAAGCTGACCAGTACAGGTGAGTGAGTTTGCAGCAGCAACAACGACAATACTGACAGAAAATGAACATCTGTAACTGCAGCAGCAGTGGCAGTACCACGTGCCACCTCCTCCACCAGAACAACAACAACAACAGAATCAACAACAACATCAACAATTATACAATAACATCAATAGCAATAACAACCGCAATGACATTGACTCTTTTGGTACCACCAAAAACATGACCGTCAACGCAAGAAATAGCAGCCACAACAACAGAAAAACAACAACAACAACCACACCTCCAACAACAACAGCAGAAGCAGCAGCAGCAGCAACAACAACCAAAAGAAAGAAGCAACAACAACAAGAACAACAACAATGTGATCACAAGGTTTACACAGTGTTTTAAGGGACATAACTCTCGTATGCTGTACGCAGAATAGTATTATACATGGATGGCCTCCCCTGTTATTGATCAGCCCTTTGATTGGATAACACAATTACTATAACAAAAAGAAAAGGAAAAAACAAAAACAAACTAATGTTCCTCAACCCAAATCAAACATTACCAAACAAAACAAATGTCCCTTTAACAAAACTGAGGTTTCCTTAAAAAAGACAAACAAAACAGAAGCAGTGAAATGAACGTACCAGTCTGCCAAGTATATCACCCCCCCCCCCCTCCCGTTCCCCACCCATCCCTCTCCCCTCTTTCTTCTACTAACTGCACTTAACTCTTCCTAACTCTTGTGTTTATTACTGAGCTACCTACCTGGGCTTCTTTCAATACTTTCTATTTTTTATTTCTTTTCCTTCCATGAAATTCTCAAAAGGCTTCAAAGAAAGCCCATACACGTTATTTATGTGTTGCTTCTAGTTAATTTCCTCTGCGTTTGGTATCGAGGTATATTCTAAGGACAATAAGGCCTGTCGTTTCCTTAACAACGCAAGGCTTTCCTCTTTTTGAAAATTAATGTACGGTACGGTGAATGTGGTAAGGGACACAACTCTCGCACCACTACGGCATGTCATTTTATTTTGTTTCGATCGCCTCCCCTGCCAACCTCTTCGCCTCAGTCTTTTGGATACATCAGTTTTC